CGGGGGATCCTGTCCCGGAGTTTGGCTGTCCCGGAGCTCTGGGTGGCGCAGGGTTTGGGATGCCCCGTTATTTGGGATGTCCCGGAGTTTGGGGTGTCCCGGAACTGGGGCTGAAACGGGATTCGGGGCATTTGAGGGAGGGTTTGCGGTGTCTCGGGGTTTGGGGTGCCCCGGGTATCGGTGTGTGCCGGGATTTGGGGTGTCAGAGGATTTTGGGGTGCCCCGGGATTGGGGGATGCTACAGGATTTGGGGTGTCTGGGATGGGGGTGTCCCGGGATTGGGGGTGTCCCGAGTTTTGGGGTGCTCCAGGTTTTGGGGTTCCCCCTCACGCTGCCACCCCAGGGGACACCCACCGCGGTGCCTACACCGCCTTCATGAAATCCCATCGCTGCTACGACCTGATCCCCACCAGCTCCAAACTGGTCGTCTTCGACACATCCCTGCAGGTGTGCCAGGGCCGGGGGGGCACTTTTGGGGCCGGGGAGGCACTTTTGGGGCTCCCTGACCCCCGTGCCTGCAGGTGAAGAAGGCGTTCTTCGCGCTGGTCACCAACGGTGTCCGTGCAGCCCCGCTCTGGGACAGCAAAAAGCAAAGTTTTGTAGGTGAGCGAGGGGGCTGGGGGTCTCCAGGGGTTGAGGGGGGCTGGCAGGACCCTCCTCACCCTGCCTGCCCCCCAGGAATGCTGACCATCACCGACTTCATCAACATCCTGCACCGCTACTACAAATCACCCATGGTGAGGGCCAGAGTCTGCCAGGGGCTCGTGTCGGGCTCTGCCTGCCCCAGCTGACCCTGGTGGGTGATCTGGGTTTCTCCTGCTCCTCACAGGTGCAGATCTACGAGCTGGAGGAACATAAAATAGAGACGTGGAGAGGTGAGGGGGGGTCAGTGCCGGCTGCCTCCCGCCCTTCCCTGGAGCCCCCCTCCCCTCACCCCTCCCTCTCCCCACAGAGGTTTATCTGCAAGACTCCTTCAAGCCGCTGGTGTGCATTTCCCCCAATGCCAGGTACCCCAGGGGGCAGGGAGAGGGGCACAGCTGGTGGTGGCACTCCCTGGAACACCCCAAATCCCCCCTCCCTTCCCCCCCACAGCCTGTTTGATG